CACCCCCTCTTCAGCTCTACAGGCTGCGCTGACAGTTTTATGGCCTCAGACTCAATGCTAATGTCTGTAAACCTTAAATAAAACACAGCAGAACCTCCACACAGGAGCTAGCTTAACTTGTTGAAATAGGGTTTAAAATGTCTTCTTTTAAATGTTTAAATGTCAGTAAAAGTCGTCATCTGCCACTCTGAGGTGGCTGCTTTTAGAAATTTCTATTACTTTTTACTTAAAATGAACATGCCCACATGCAGCTGAAGCTAATGATCAAAGCTAACAGAGCTAATTTAAGCTAATTAAAAAGAAAGCCCAGAGATTTTTAACCCTGTAATGCCAAATGTAAAAGAAAGAAAAGAAAGAATCCTGTTACATTTTCCCTAAATAAACGTAAAATATGTAAAACAGAATAAAAAAACTGCCCCCCAGGAGATAAACCAGCATCTAAAGGGCTCAAACCCCAAAAAGTCTGGAGTTATGGACCAGAAAACAGATTTAAGAATACAGATAAATCCAGCAGAACCTCCACATAAAAATCTAATCGGTTCCTTCTGTGTTAAATATTGGGTTGTTGGTTCAAATCTCCTGTCAGAATACTCTGTAATTCCTAAAATTGGTTCCAAAAACCTACGATAACTCCTTAATAAATACTGCAGATAATTACACATAGCAAGAAAACAAATGACTTCTAGAAGAGAGATGGAAAAAGAAATAAATGATAAAGAAATAATCAATAAAAAACGGTTTATTATTGCGACTTTACCTAACTAACTTTCACTACCTCAACTTTAAACTAACTTATTTATTTGTATTTTATTTATTTATTTATTTTATTCATTCATTTTTTTTCTATGACTTTGATTTCATAGCTCATTTATTTTTATTTGATTTTTGTATTAAAAAATGTTCCTATGACTTTGATGTCATAGCTTAATTATTTTTATTTAATTTTTACATTAGATTTTTTTTCTGACTTCAACGTCATAGCTTATTTATTTTTATTAAATTTTTGTATTTAATTTTTTCCTATGACTTTAACATCATAGCTTATTTATTTTTATTTTTTTATTTTCTCTGACTTCGACGTCATAGCTTTTTTAAATTTTATTTTTTTATTTTCTCTGACTTCAACATCGTAGCTTATTATTTTTATTACATTTTTATATTTTATATCTTTTTTCCTTTGACTTTAATGTCATAGCTTATTTATTTTTATTACATTTTTATATTTTATATCTTGTTTATTTTTATTTTATCTTTATATTTTGTATCTTTTTTCCTATGACTTTAATGTCATAACTTATTTATTTTATTAAAGTTTTATATTTGTTTATTTTTATTTTATCTTTATATTTTGTATCTTTTTTCCTATGACTTTAATTTCATACCTTATCTATTTTTATTACATTTTTATATTTTATATCTTGTTTATTTTTATTTT